TTTTTAACAAGTTGGCATGAATACAAATTATCTGATGAAATGTTTTCTAAATTTTAAGGTGATAAACAAAACCTGAAATAACTGTAAGCATTAATAACTAATGTAGTCACTTAAAATAGGGCAAATGTACTAAATGAACATTATGTGCTATATGAGAATATTGGATTCAGAATTTGTCTTATAATACATATAGTATATTTGTTCTTATTTTGTCAAATTTTGACACAATTTAAGATTTAGGTTTTTTTTCCCCCTTTGGATATGCTTAAATCAGAATATCTGAGCATCTGACATTTGTTCCAGATTAATGATACAGGCCACTATATTATATCTAAACAACACACTGGTAGAGCGAAAGAGGATGTATAATACTAGGTAACACTAAAATGCAGTCACTTATTTTTTCCTAATATGTGAACTGGGGAAATGGGATATATATATATAAAATCAACTCTATTGCACTATTTTAATGCTTAAAAACCTACTATCTACCAAAACACATTAACAACTGAACACTATTATACTTATGCATCATTAGGGAGACAATCTTTCATTATAATCTGAACCACTGGGCCTAAAGCATCCAAACTTCAGTGGATGAACTGGTCTACTCTGACTTCGCTCATCACTTGTAGCCTGGCAGTCCACAAGTTCTTGAGCATGGAAATGTAGAAAAAATCTTGTTTATTGTAGCAATGGTATGAATTTTTTATTGGGTGATTTTTAAAAACAACTTTAAGAACAATTCTGCAATTCAGACTTCTGGACAAATGATTTGCTATTCATTTATTATTTATTTATTTATTTATTTATTTATTTATTTATTTATTTATATTTATTGAGACAGCGTTACTCTGTAGTCTAGGCAGGCCTCAAACTCATGGCAATCCCCCTGCCTCAGTCCCAAGTGCTGGAATTATGTCTGCATTCCTTCCTGCTCAATTATGCCATTCTTCTTATGTAAAATTAGAATATATTTTTGGCAATTTCCAGAAATGCATCTAATAAAAGGCAAAGTCTGCCTATACTTGTTTCTTTGAACAAAACTTTATCTTAACATTCAAAGGCTCATGAAAGTTTCACATTTTAGATACACTTGACTAATAATACAGTATCAGACTGCCAAAATAAAGCACGTTTCTAAATCAGACAAAAAAAAGCTTTTGTCCTGTATCATAATCACTGAAAACAATGATGTATTCAGTAATGTGGCACAGTCACTTGACAGGTGACATGAAACAATACCTGTCCTCTCCTCAGATCTTCATTTGGGGGAAAGGAAAAAAAACCTGAAAAGTGGTAAAAATGAAACAGGAAAAAAGAACTTAATAAAACATTTGTTCAAAATCCAAGAGGTAAAATTTAAGAAACTTATATAATATGTACTAGAAATACTACTATATAATCATTTGAGGTTAAAAATGGCTGCACATTCATTAAAGATGATCTCCAATATAAAGGTCTCATTTTTGTTATCAAATATTTTTCAATGCCTTTTGGGCATTTGTTATTTAGAAGAAGTTAAGGAGG